GAGAGAGAGAGAGAGAGAGAGAGAGAGAGAGAGAGAGAGAGGGAGCAAGAGAGAGGGAGAGAGAGAAAGAGAGAGATAATCAAATCAGCCATGGTCCTATTTATTGGCTACGGGTTTTGCTCCGTGCCGGCTGTAAAATAGGAGTTTGTGTATGCAACGTCCCAGAATGAAGCCGTGCTCTGTTTTGTGCGTTCTTGTGCGCGCGCGTCGTTTTTTGTTCTGGAAGTCAGTTTTGACGTGATGTTTTTGTGCCCCTGGGCTGTATCGTACTGTCTTCATTCGTTCTGGACATCAATTTCCCACCTTTCGGTATGTTCCCTGGATAAAACAGGCGGAGGTCACATGAGGTAGCAGGCATGGGTTGTGTTGAATGCCTGTTCAATGGAACACCCGACCGACTGACTCGTGATTTCCATGAACACTCCGTGCTTGCGTGCCTCGGGTACCAACCAATCCCATCATTCCTTGCACCTACCTTTTTCTGTCTTTCTCGTTTACCGTTATGTGGTACAGGCTACCGTACCGTCCGGGTGGGACGATTCTGACCCTCGATGCATCAAAGATTCGTCTGAGGTTTCCCTGCGCTCCTTCTCCACAAAGGTAAAACACAAAAAAACGCCATCCTCTCAATTAGATTCCGCTGTTATGAATAAGAAAAATATATTTGCGTGTTTTGTCTCTTCATGTCTAAACAGTCGATGTGAGGAATACTCTCGCTCATCACCACCGTCCACAAACCTTCAAGTGGTGCTTTTGATGGTTATCCAAAGGAGGTATCGCCCGACTGATGCCGTTTCGTTTGTTGGGATTGCCATTTGCAGTTTTCGATGGAGCCGATATCAGGGATCACTTGCATCTGCGAGAGTTAATCGGCATACGAGAGCGAGACCTTGTGAAAGGGAAACTGTCGGTTTGGAAAGCGAAGGCTGGAGGGTGAACGGATATTTATGACGACGTGGCAAGCAGATGGAATAATGGCTGTTGTACGAATTGATGCACTTGTGCAAGTAAACGCTACGCTGCCTCAATGCACACAGGTAGTCTCGAGGAAAAGATGCTTACACCCCCCCCCCCC